GTGGATGTTTCAGTGCTTTCCTGAACCAGTCCGGGAGGTGCTGCAGCACTGCATGTGTAGAGGACAAAGGCGCATTTTTCACTGATCATCATGGGCTTATGCCAGGGCTAAAATTGAAGTTTGGAAGTGGTCAGGTAGAAATTTTCTGTTTTTTTTTTTTGTTTGTTTTTTTGTTTGTTTGTTTGTTTGTTTTTTAAACAGAAAATTAATTGTGTCTAATTCTTTTTCATGAAAAGCATCTATCTATTTTGAAACTAATTCAGCTGAAAACCATGAGAATTGGGTGCAAACTTTTCAGTTTTTCACCAGAATTTCTCAGCTGTCTGAAAAATTATGGCAGTCTTGAGTACCTATCCAAAACCATAATTATTTTTAATAAAGAATATTATATAATTATGTAAACTATCTTATACATATTTATACATGTTTATTTTATATATAGTTTAGATAACAAACAATTGATATATTAATAGATACGCTTGTATAAGTTATTTCTTATAGGGTGATGCTATAATATGATAATACAAATAGTATTATATAACTATATAGAAATATATAATTAGTATTAGGCATTCAGGAGAAAAAATGTCATGATTTTTCTTTGCAATGGACAATATTTGAATATGGGGGTGAAGAGATGAAGGCCCCTTCTAACCCCTCCTCCTGCCATTTATGTCAGTGGCGATGTGCAGCTCAGGAAATTGCTCATGAATTCTCTGTTACTATGTGGTAGACTATTCTACATACTTTTTTTTTTTTAAACCTAATTGATTTCTTCTTCCGGAATTTACAGCCCTGCTGCTTTTTTAGAACTGCTTTGTGGACTTTCTCTCACATAATATTTTGTTGTGATTAATCCATCTCACACTAGAGAACTGTCTGTGTTTTGTTTCCATTTATTTTATTAAGTGGAGGATACGTCATTAAGTTTTTGCGTTGCTCATGTTCAATGCAAGTTGATAGGAACCAGGTATCTGAAGAAATGGAGAAAAGTAGATGAAAGATTCCCTGTCCCCTCATGGCTAACTTTCTCTGAAGAATTTGTGAGCGGACACAAGTGGGTGATACCATTGTTCCTCTACCAGTAAGCTAACTGTATCAGTGGCCTGAATCTTAGCGTCTTTTGATAATGATTTCCCCGCAAGAAGAATTCACATATACGTATTTCTTACTCCGGCGTGTGCATGCTGTTTCCTTAGCAATGGACTGCGTGTCATGGTCCAACTCTGCTGGGTCAGTTGTCAAAGTGCAGTAATTCACCTGAACACTTTTGGGGGAGGAGCGTGTGGGGTGTGTGCACTAGTACTTTCGAATCAGGATGCTCTCTGAAAGGGGGCGCACGGTGAGTTTTAACCCCACAGCACAAAGGTTGCCTCGGGTATGAACAGCAGGTAGACAACGGGAAACAGATTGCTAAGAAAAAGGCAAACTGCACTTTGCACAAATGATGCACTTGATCAGTGAACCTGATCGTCATGCAGAGATTTGAACTTGTGCTGATGCTGCATCGTAGCACCTCGACCCTTTTGAACCTCAAGCCCCAAACCTGCAGGGGAGCACGTGTGTTCCCCCCAGCAGAGATTTCATCCATGTCAGCGAGCAAGTTTTGCTTGCAAAAGATTTTTTCGGAAGGAAATTTTCATTACAAAGGATGGCCATTAAAAAAAAAAAAAAAAAAAAAAAGCAAAACCCCACAAAAACAAGCAAAGAAAAACACCTGACAACAGGGAGAACTGTGGCACTTCTCCATGAATCCTCTTAAACTCATACATTTTATAAGTATTTAATGTGATACCTGGTAGGAGTAGACAGCTGCAGATGACTGCAACAACTTTAAAGAACAGTTTTTTCCTGTCACTTCTTTTGCAGTGCGGCCCAATAGTCTTCCTAACAGACACCGCTTGCAGAGTATCACCATTTCTCTTAGGATAATCAGTGTAGGTTGGTAATAATGCATAGCAACATACAATTAAAAATTAATAGTGAAATGATTACATTATTCTCTTCCAGCGGAAAAAACCTCCACCTTGCAACAAAGGCCTTTAAAGCACTTTGGCTGTTTTCCAAAATAGCTAATTAATACCCCACCTAGCACTACTTCTGTGAGGCAGAGGTGCTCTTGCCAGGCAGGAATTGCTAACTGTCCGTCGAGGAGCTCCGCTCAGCGTCCCTGGCACTCAGCAGTGCCGGCCCTGCCACGCCAGGAAAACCTGCTCAAACGGCAACAGCATGGCAAGTCAGTCTTTTATATTATTGAAATAATCCGTGACATTCAAAACTGAGAGACGATGCGTTGGGAAGTCTAGAGAGAGTGGATTTGCTTTCCTCAACACCAAAACAAAGGCTTTGCAATGTTACATATATTATTCTGATCACAAAAGTATCTTGCATTAGGGCTTTCAGCGTGAGATAATTGACCTTGACATTGCTTTCAGCTAAGGGCACATAACTCTTATCACAGTGACTTATCTTCAAGAAAAGCGTGCAACTGCAAAGAATATTTACTTACTGTCTTCTTTTTTTTTTTTTTTTTTTTTTTTTTTTTCCCTTATTCTTTCAAACTGTGCACTGCAAGGACAAGTAGGCAGAAGTGTAGTGAGGGATGGAAGGTATTTTATGTGGATGAACACGTGAAGAGGTGATTATGTATTGCTAAAAGTCTAATCCTTGGATAAACTACAGTTTGCTATTAATTCTTTGGACTTGCTTAGCTGCTACTTAACATTTCCATGACTTAACAATTATATTCTTGAGCTAAGAGTAACTTTTCAACAAAATGTGTAGGGATTAGAAACATTGATAATTATATTAATTAATATTAATGGGAGTGACAATATTTGTAGTCATATGACAAACATGAGGAAAGCAGGGCTTTAATTTTATCAATTAATTCCGTTTCTAATTGCTTTCACTATTCAATTGTCAGAACGTGTTCTACGTGCAACAAGGGATGCGTTAAGCAGGAAACAGACCAAAATTAAGGGGAGAGAGAGATGTGTATTTGTGTGTGGTATCGTCTGTTACCCAGAAACACATTTAGCCTTGTCTGTGGGCTTTGCATTTTCTCCTCTCTGTCTATTTATTATAAATGCCAATCATCTGGAGTAACGGGCTCGGTCTCAGTTGAGGTGGGTTGGTAGGTAGAGAGGCAGTCAGGAGCAGAAAATGACACTTACTGAAGAGCTCTCCAAATTACCAAATATCCCTCTTCCCACACCTTCCCATAGGTGCAGGATGAGCACAGGATGGGAAGACAAGCAGACCTTGGAAAAGAGAGCTCAGTGTGTGTGTCTATGCTGACTACTCAGATTTGTTTAATACATTTGGTTGGATCGAAGTTGTCTCTAGAGGAAGGCAGAGAGCTGCAGTCCATTGGCCTTAATCCTTCCCCGTGCTCCTGTATCTTTATACTGCTCCACCAGCTCAACACCGCCGTAAAACCAACATAAGCCACCCTCAGCGCTCCCCGCTGTGCGGGAAATCCCTCACCAGATCCCTCGCTGAGCACCGCAGCTGCCACAGAGGCTTCTTGGCACCAGGAGGGGGGCAAACCCCTCCCTGCAGATGTGTCCAGTGCAGGGCAGAGCCGTGAGATGATGCCCTTGCTTGGTGTCCCAACAGGCTGGGGCTGTGCAAAACCCCAGTTGTGAGGGTGGAGGCAACCATCGGGGAAAAAAAAAATCATATCCATAAAGTTTTCCGCATGAAAATCTTCATGTCCTGAAACCACTCTCCTCAGAGAGATTTCAGCCCATAAAGAAATCTTAATGCGTTGAAGTTTCCCTCTGCACGGAGCCTTCACCACATAACAATCCAAGAGGCCAATAAAACAAATAATGACTATCTCCTGGGGCAGGTGCAATAAAAAAAAAAATGCCGCCAGCTAAGAATTGCGCCTTTGATGGCTCTACAGGCAAGATATCAACCATCTCTACAACAGCGAGTCCCCTCGTGTGGTTTTGCACTCGCTGCCCTCCCAGTCCGTGCCCGGATGGTACGTGCAACGTTTCGGGGTCTGCTTTTCCTCTCAGCTCATCCCTCCCGTGGTCCTCCTTAGGATCACGCCCCGGTAAGACTCTGAATAAATATCTCGCCCACCCGGCGCGTACAGACGAAGGAAGCCGCTGCCCGGCAAACGCTGGCTGCGCTGCCTTTTGGCTTTTGCCAGCTAACCTGGGAGAAGCAGCTGCCTGCTCGCCCGAGCCGTGCGGGTGTTGGGCGCTAGGGCGGGAGGGGAAGCGGCCTGGGGAGCTCCTCACCAACACCCCAGGGACCCGGGGGGGGCTCGCCGATGAGGGTGAGGGGGTACCCCTAAATCCCTGATTCTTGGGGGCTGGACGCTCTGCCCATCCCATCCCCCCTCCTTGTTGACAGCCGAGGCTGGTCCCTACGCACGTTTGCATCTATGCCTATTTTTCGGATAAAATCAGGAAGCATAATTTGATCTTGTTGTGCAAGCCACATTGTCAAAAGGCATTCAGGACAGATTCAGAGCTTTTGTGCTGGTATAAGCGCTGCTGCTTCCCCATAGCCCCATCAGGGGACAGAGCTCAGAATTAGTCCTTTTGTGTTTGTTTCCACTACACCGGGACGGACCTGTGAGCCTTTGCTTTTCCCCATCAGGAAGCACAGATTTAACGTATCGAACGCACCAGAATTGCTTAATGAGTGCTCAGTGAATATTAATAAAAGTTTGGACGTGACTCAGGCTACAATGGATGAGAAGTTTGAAAGCTTTGGTTCAAGATTACAGGAGGCTGTGAGAAAATATGGTATCCAGCAGCTAGCATATAGTGCAGATATTTCACTATCCAGGGATCTCTAATTACTAATAATGTACAGGAACAGTATGATATGTCCTTACAATTGCAGAATCCTTTTCAAAGATAATCTTTAATAGTTTATTTGACAACCTGTAAAATTATAGAAAATTATTAGTCTTGGGAATTACAAAAATCCCCACAGTACAGTCAAACAATAAAATTATAATTACCTGTGGGTAATTGAAATTTAACTATTTTTTTATTGTATATTACACATCAATAGCAACATAAGTTCAAGAATGTCCCCCTCCCCTCCCTTTTCTTTTCCTTACAGAAGTGGGGAAAATGGACAACCCTGCTGGTAGCTTGTGAGCCCTTGTCACAGAACAGAGCTTGAACAATTTCGATTAAAGCAGTATGTTCGAGACTGTCATTAGACCTGCATTAAATTACATATCTGGAATGTTAAAAATAAAGAGTATTGAAGCTTATTCACAGCTGCCTGTGGTAAAGTATGTAGTCAAGGTTTTGATTATCTTTAAAGTTCTTATTTTTCTCTTTTCTAAAACTTATTGTTTCGTCAAACAAATATCTAGCACATTTAAGAACAGTATGAGCACATGAGCAGAATTGCTTAAGATGGATAAAGCATTAGCGTGTTTCCATTCTTGCTCGGTAGCATTGTTTAGTACTAACAATGGTAATTTATCAATTATACAAGAGGGAACAAAGCTCTTTGTCGTCTCGTAGCTCCAGAACTACCTATTAGAAGGTCCAAAGCTGGAGACCCCTTCCAGACCTCGGGAGGCATCATTTAGCGTTAGCGTTCGTACTGCTGGGTTTTGCCTTGTCCTCTCTCAGTGACCCTATGGAGGCTGCTCAGTACTCAGCACTATGGCACATCAAGACTTCCGTGGCTTTTTTTCTGAATCAGGAAAATTATAACCTTTTTTCTTTTTTCCTTCTGAACCAGGGCTCTTGATAATGAGGCACGACTGCTCACTAGCCCTCCTGTCTGCGGGCTGCTCTTCCTGTCTATCAGGCAAGACCGTCCAGTCCCCTCTTGTGATGGCATGAGAGGTTTTTAGAACAAGCTTAAGGATAAAACCCAAGTGTTCTGGATGCTATTTGGCCAGCATAAATCCTAAAATAAGGTATGTTTGACAATTAATTGTCTATGTGACAGCATTGTTATATACTACTAAGACGCCCAATAATGGTGTTTCCTTCTATGCAAGGATCAGGCTGGCTACTTTTATTTGATTCTGTAAGGTGCTCTGTGATCATTATGTGACTATAACTGCACAAGAGGAAATATCTCTGTTTGATTAAGAGTTTCAATTAAAGTGTTTAGTACACAGATTTTTATCGTGAGAGGGGCATCGCAAAGACTGAGTACAACATAATGGCAAGCCAGGTATTATTATGATTATTGTTACTATTATTTATGTATAATCATTGCAGTATTAACTGAAAGCTGGGAAATGGAGTTCCTGGGCCTCAAAGAATTCATAGTAACAGCTTTCTTTGGAGGAGGCAACAAGAGCAAACCATCTCTCCTTTGTGGCACAGTTAAGGCCGCACACAGCCCAGGCTGGAGATCCAAGATGCTGAATGGGTTTTCCCATGTCCGGAGATCAGAGAAGGCCATAAAATTCAGCTGGATCCATCATGGCCTGCCTTTTTATTCAGGTGCCTTTTGCTCTTCCCACTGCCTTTTTCCCCCTGCCTGTTAGTGTGAAGGGCATCCCTGCACGTCAGAGCTGAGAGGCATCCCTTTACCCAGCGCAGCAGCTGGGGAGCTCTCAGCAGAGCGGTGTTTGAGCACTTTCGCAAGGGACCTGAGGAGAGAGATTTTGCCTTCCTCGCTTGTCCTGCCCATCCGAGACTTTTAAGGGTCTTGGCCTCCTAAAAGCTAAAGTGGAGTATTCGTATTAGATTTAAGCCAAGTATAAATCTTTCAGAAGGAGAAACCCCCAAGAGGGACCGTATCAGCAAAGCAGTTAATGGTTTAAGCTACAGCAGAGGAGCGGCAGGGCTGGCCCCAGATCATGGTCCTTATGCCACATACCCGAGGAGATGTAGCTGAGAGAGTTTTGTTTTGCTTTGGCTGTTTCCTCATCCTGGCCCTTGACCAACACCTGAAGGCTACAGGAAAGGTTTTCTCCATCCTTCTCTCAACCCTCGTTCCCTGGCAGATTCTAGCTGTTGAGCTCAACCGCCCTAAAAAAGAAGCTGGCGAGCTGTTGTCCACTGGGATTTATATATATGGGATGCTTGGAAGCTAAATCTTCCAACCACTAAAATGCACCATACTGTAAGACAAAGAGCAGGAGATAAATTTTGCTGCCTTTGAAATTTCTGCTCGTGTCACTCGCTGAGGCTCATTTTTACCATTGTGACTCCAGTGAGAAAAGCTATCCTGACACGAGTGTCTTACTCCGCACTGTGACGCAGGGATGAAGTGAGAGCCAAGGATGAGAAATTGCAGTGCTGTCAGGACTGAAGCCAGGTCAAATTTTTCGTTTTGCTAAAAGTCATTTCTTTGACGTAGGAATCGGGAAAATACATTGATGCAAGATGTTGAAAAGGAGTAAATGGTTATTATTTTCTCCCCAAAATATGATTCAAATGGAGAGACCCAAGACTCATGGTAATGGGAAAGTATTGTAAAGTGAAAACACAAGCTTTTAGGGATAGCCACTGACATGGAGTACAATGTAATGGGAGGGTCCAAAAGGGCCTTCAGGGAGCTCCTCCTGGAAAGCACCACCAACAGTCCTCATTTTGCTCCCGTCTGTAGGGTGTTTGAGCTCACAAATGTTTGGGTAAAGGAGGCTGCAAGCTTCCAAATAAAAAAAATAAATAAAAAAAAAGGTTAGGCTATTTTTCTTTCTTGGGGATGAGGTTAGAAGGTTAATAAAAGAGCTAATCCCAGCTTGCCCTGCAAGGGGGAGCAGCTCACCTTTGTGAGACTTCAGAAGCCTCTGGAGTGTGTGCGTATGGATGGATGCTGTTATTTCCTGGCAGAGCTGTCCCAAGAAGACGGGAGCAGGGGCCTGTTTTTTGAAGAGAAGTTTGGCCTTTAAATGAATCAGCTGGAGTGAAAATAAAAAGGTTAGTGTAAAATGTTTTTGAGAGTAAACCCAAATTCAATAAAGTTCTGGGTATTTTAAATTTTTTTTTCCCTGCGAGAACCTAAAACTAAGACTTACTACAGCGCAGAGGAGGCCAACCACAGCATTTCAACCGAATGTCCCAGAGAGGCTGGTTGGTTGTTTTTTAGAAATTTCATTCAGTTGACTCAAACTTTTAAATACGTTAACACATCGAAAGAAAAAGGGTCAATGAGACCCGGAGAGCATTCTGTCTGAAGAACAAACCACACACACCACTCGTCCTCACTGAATGCTTCTCTGCTAACCGCTGCCGGCTTGCTGGACCACCAGCCTCAAGAAAGCCTCAATGCTGTGACGCATGCTGGCCACTCCTTAAAGAAGCAGATCTTCCTCTGAAGCAGCACCGTGTATTCAGGTAAGGGAAAATGTGGCTACAGTCTTTAGTCCATGGACAAACACGTTACCTGGGGATTTTGCTGCTCTCGTCAGAGGGATTTAGAAGTGCAGCTTTTTGGGTGTGGAGCTGGCAGGGGGTTTGCTCCAACTGCTGCATGATGGCTGCACGAATGGTAGCAGGCTGGGACAAAGCCATCTTAGAGAGGGTGATTAATTACAGAACAGGCTTTTCTGAGCCTCTTCTCATTTTTGCGTCGTTTTCATTCTTGCCGTTTGTAACCAGGGAAGGGTTTGGGAGCACAGGTGGAGGGGATGCCTGTGTTATGGCCCCGGGGGCGTGCAGAGGGGCGCTGGACACTCCCGTTTCTTGCCTCCAGGCAGCTCTACGTTATTCCCAGCAGATTACAGCACCAGGCAGTTATGTATAAGGAGATCTGGGTGTCCTTTTGCTTTCCAGCTTTGAGGGAATGCTTACTGCACAGCATAGAAAATTACCTCAGGCCTTGCTAGGTTTTTCTGGAAAAATATATACTACAGTCTGGGGTACTTATATGCCTCCATGACTTGGTGTCCCTCTGCACAGATGAGGGTCCATACCGAGAAACAGCGTAAATGTTATAGTCAATATCCCTTGGCAGAGAAACTGCACTACAATTTCTTTTTTCTTATTTTCTTCCTTTTGCGCAAGGCTCCTGTGCTACCAGCTAACCATTTCCTATAAGGAAATGGCATTGTGTTAAAGTTATATAGTGTATCATATTAAATTTTATAACAGTGCTTTGTGTTTTGAAAAGACTTGGGGGGGAAACAGCATCAATCAAGGAACCACATTTGATAGACTTGGAAGGGGCCTCCTGGGTCATTTTGTCCAAGACCTCTATGAAACAGGAAGGCTTCTGCAAAATACCTTTCCCATAAATGTATCTAACCTTTCCTTAAAGACACTGAGTGATTGTGCCATAAAGACCTCAAGCGGGTAAACTAGTCTGATTGACCTTACGATCAAAACGTGTCTCCTAATACTGTATATAAGGTACAATTTTCCATTCTTTCAGCTGTAGCTAAGCAAGAAAAAAGGGCAAATACACAGTAATGGGCAACAATACAGACTGTGCAAACAGTTTTGCTTTCACTTTACTGCCATCACCTACCATAAATCTGGACGTACCATTGATACTTGGTTTCCCAGTGTAGTGTCTGTGATCCTTGTAGTATCTATCTCACTTTGTCTCTGACTTTTGGAGAGCCAGCATTACAGAGTGTAGAAATAACGAAGACGTACGAGCAGCACTTTCTGATTCAGAAAGCCATTCAAAACCCTATGCCATATAGTTAGAGTATTTATTTCTATTTTCTATTTATTAGAATTTGTGAGTTGTTTCTTGTCAGGACCACAGGAGCTAGGGGAAGCACAGGGCTTTCTATGTCTCCGTCAGTGTCAAAGAATAATTTTCATTCTCCTCCAACAATTGTGCATACTGAAAAATAAATACCTGGTAGTTTAGCTGTTCGTTGTTGCAGTAGTAGTGCATTGTGTGCTGGTTATGGCCCCACACTGCTCTGCCTTCTTTCTCTGGGTGAATATTAGGAGAAGTGTCGTTTTGTGTAGATGTGTTATTAAATCACAGACACATTCATTTCCGAGAGTTTCCTGAGCTGCACATAAACTATCATCTTTGCCCATCTTTGCCTTGCTTTTTATTTTTTTTTTTTTGCAAGTGCTGGAAGATGGTGAGAGAGCTGGAGGCCAGTTGCTCTCCCACCTATTTCTGTCAGGCCTATGCTACTCACGGAACGGGGTTATTTCGTGGTGCCCATCTCACCTGGCTGACCATTACATTAATTCATTCTGGACTCAGGAGGAAGTTAGCCACCCGTCCGTGTACCCTTGCAGCTCCCAGGGAAAGGCACGTCTCTAGAAGCTGAATCTGCCCCCTTGGTGGCAGTGGGGCGTTGCTGGCAGATGTAAGAAAGAATGAACAAACATCTTCCAGTCATACCGGTGTCGCCAGCCACTTGCTGAACACCCAGCCAGCATCGTGCCCAAATGAGACACTGAAGAGGTGCAGTAAATGCTTGTGGAAAGGTCTGGGACAAATGCAGTTTTATCCGCTCCCCAGCAGGCCCCACTGGACAGCCTGACTTTACTAGACCATCTCATCGGAATCCTATCCACAACCTGAGCCAGCGAAGCGTATTTCAGACTGAGGAGAGCCGAGAGGAATTTCTTCTTCAGAAGATCCAAGAAAGAAGTTTTACAAGGTTGAGGTATCCTGAGCTCGGTTTTAATGTCCATTCGTTGTTCTGGGGTAGATCAGGCCATCCTTGTTTTTTTTTTTTTTTTTTTTCCTTTTTGGCATTTTTGTTTGGTAGTTGTACTTCTCATACACAGAGGGCTGCTGCATAATGGACCAGGAAGACTGGAGTTAAATCCTAAAAGCAAAAGACACAGAAAAGGCAAGATAATTTGGAAAGATCGTGGTGATCCTGAGTTTGAAGACATGTTGGTGTCTTTGTATGTCCCTGCCCACACTTTTATCATGTGCCTGCTGTATGCCTCATGTCTTTGTGCCAATCCAGACTGGCATTCACTCGTCCTTCTCAGCTCAGTGCTAATCATTTCACAAAGACAAAAGCCCTGAAAATATAGATATATTTTTTTTTAAATGCCTTCTCTATACAATTAACTAAATGCCATCCTTTCTCTGATGTGCAGAGTTTAAACTATTTGTTTAGTATTTAATCACACAGAAATACAGGCTAAAATACACCTCATCCAGTTGTTTAAGGGCAGAGGCTGGTGAGATCTTGACACTTCAAGCTGATATTATAAAATCACCAGGGAACATAAAATACCTAGGCCAAGAAAAAAGATTACAAATACTAACAGACCTGCTGTTTATTGCTTATGTGCTTTCCAGCCATTGTCTTTTTTCTCATGGAATCACCAGCTTCCCTCGGCACAGAGACGAGTCTGTCCCAAGCCCAGCTCACCCCTCACTCCCTGCCTGCTCTCGGCCCGGCTGCCACAGCAGCCCTGCTCTGCCGAGATGACCCCACGCCCACCTGCAGCAGCATTTGCGTACACAGGATCCTGGGTGCTCGGCCCCCCATGACAAAATCAGGTCCACTTCCTTCACGCTGACCTACTTCAGTCCCATGTAGCCCCCATTCTCCTCTTGGCCCCCTCCACTCCCCAGATTGTAAATACTTGGTGGGGGAGAGAGACATATTTTTGTTCCGTTTTGTTAGGAGGGGGAACCGAGGCGAGGAGGGCTTTTTTTGCTCTTTTAGTTTTATTAGTGTGGGAGGGGGGTTTTTTAGGCCTGTGACTGTGGTGTTAGATACTCCTGAAAACAAAAAGTGCATTTGCATCAGGTGCTCCTAAAACAAAATAAAAGGCTATATCATTGAGATTTTCTGATCCCGTTCAGTGCACAAATGCCAATCAGAAGCAAATATGGGGCTGTAACTTGCAATCCATTTTGATATTTACAACAGAACACGGCATATCATTTAATTTAAATTTGCAGCATGCTCAGTGTAATTAATGCTGTGCAGTGCCTAGAAAATCCTGGTTTCTTAATGTGCTACAATGCATGCATGCTGAGACCATTTTTTTAAACTGCTGTATCATTTTGGAACATTACTGGGGAGGCACTACCATTAAACCGGAAAAAGAGCCATGCTCACTTTCTCTTTATGAAACTTCCATGCAGCTCCCCCAAATATGATGCAAACTACAGGTTTGTTTTAAAAGAGGGGGGGAGTCAGAGATTTAATTTTCCCTTGACACAGCATGATGCCTGAATAGCCAGGCAGCTATTCCTAAATTATGTGCATTTCATTCCTAGGAGCTGTGAGCATTTTGAATGGGCTGTCGTTATATACAGTACACAAGCATAAATACTCGAGGGAACAGCTAGCTGAAATTTTGGCATGAGCAGAAATCTGATATCTATCGTGGTAGTATCTGAGCATGTAATAATAATGCATATTGATTTGTCAGGAGTGCTAAGAGAGGGGGTTTGGTATTCTGGGATGAGAACCGTTAAACTCGGGAACGTCTTGTGTGATTATAACAAGCCGCTGTATTTGTGTGCTGTGGTTTTGGCAGGGACAGGAACGTTCACCTGTAATCTTTACACCTGTGAGACTGGCCCAGGTCTCATTTTTGGACCCGAACCCAAGAGACCGGATACATGATAAAGATGTATTCTATACATTACACACAAATGAAGCCTGGGGAATTTACAGCCGTACCTAGAAAATCAGGTAACAAAAAGGCAATGTGCTTGGCAAGAAGAGTCGGGACCAAAAGCCCACCGAGGTCAGGAGCTTTACTGCCATGACTTCAGTGAGCTTGGGTGTTAGTTCACCTACTTTTATCAGGCAGCTCTATGATCCGAGTTGTGCAAAAAGCAAATAAAAAAGCCAAGCAACACAACCCCTATCATTTTGCAAGGTACCGGTTTCTACCAGAACGTACTATAGAAGCTCTGGTTATAGACCTGTTGGTAGCAAAGCAAATTCTTCAGGTCCTCTGAATAAATCTGTTCCTAAATATAATGCTTCAACTTCTATAGTCTCATCTGACACCTGACAATTCAACCTTAAGAGTAATTGGTCCTGTCTTTGAACCTCTGCAAATACTGTATGAGGAGGGTGGACAATTTATTGATTTAGATTGATTTTTGTAAGAAGCATTTGAGACAGATATGGTATCAGGTGTCACACACTGTATATATTAGACTCCTCAAAACCAGCCATAGGTGACGGGGCAGGGTTCAAGAGCATGAGGAGGTAAAGTTCAGCGAGCACCTGCAAACGAAGCTGTCCTGCTGCGTGATACCTCGCCGAGTAACTGCCTAAGAGAGACGCCAGCCAGGAGCAACTTCATTGGCCAAGTTTGAATTTCGGGGGGCTGACGAGATGGCTCTTCTGCTGGGAAGCCAGCCCGAGCTACGCGCTGTCTCCACGCGTAGGAACCCAAAAGGTCAGTCTAGTGCAGGTTGCCCAACCCATCGATCTGTTCCTGTTTTCGGTGTCAAGCCTCAAGAAGGGGCTGGAGGGGATGGACATGAAATGTCCGTCGGGCTCATGAAATGAACAGTCGGGCGTTTCCACGCCCGCAACAATTTTTTAAGTGCTGTGGTCATTCGAGTGTGTTGCAAGACAGGGCAGTGGATTTGTCAGGAATTAAAGCATTTGTGAACCTGGCTGTTTAGTTTGTGACAAAAACTGTCATTGATATTAATAACTCTGACCTAAAAAACCCCTAGGGAACTAGCAGACCAGAAGAAGACAGAAACAAGATGGCACCGAGGGTCTCATCGCTGGGGAGGATGATTAAGCCTTGAGAGGGAGGGCTGTCCCACTTGTGCACGAGTTTGGCTGGGGGAATCACCCTCCTCCCGCTGTCTCGCTTCCCTCATCTATAATGAGGGAAAGAATAACTTTGCAGCATACTTTACATTGGCAGTGCATGCTAACTTCATTACTGTTTGCAACAGCCTGTGCAATCCTCAGAGGAAAGGAATAATAACAAAGAAAAAAAATGATAATTACCAAGCACATAGTTTTCATCTATAATCTTCATTTCAGGATTCACTATTTCTGATGTCAATATTTTATAATGGAAGAATGAGATATGCTAAGTTTCTGTTTGATGGAAGTAAATTCAGATTTAATATTGCCGAGGAGCTGAATTTTTAATACACTAGAGCAGTATGCAGACGTTCCCCCTGTTTGCTGCTCCTGCCGCTCCTTGGTACCGGGGCAGCGATGTTCCCGCGACCAGGCAGGGAAATGGAAAGGACCTGCCCTGAATTTCAGCGGGGTGACAGTACTTTGTCACTTAGCTCTGTCACGATAATTGGGAGTGCCACACAATGAAACAACACGACACACCCGCCCGGTAAATGAAGAGTTTTCAACGTGATGTACAGCCCCTGTCAACTGCCAAAGCTTTTGTTTGTTCACAGAGTGAGGCAGCATTTCCAGAAGAAAAAACCACACTGGCGTGGTGCGCTCGTACAGTTTGTTGTAAATTGATTTCCTCTGTGTTTTTATAAAATTGGATATATTGTATGAACAGTAGGAAAATATCCTCTTTTATCGCACGCTCCCAGCTTCCAACCTGCTGAGGACTTTCCACAAACTCTTTAGGAATTTACCTCTTTTCGTTAAATTGGGTTGGATCTCATTAATAAAAGAATGGTATAATGGAAAAGAGTTTCTAAAATTATACTGTAACCTAGAATTGCAGGATTCAGCTTTCTCTGCCTGAAGAAAAAAATTCTGAAGCATTAAACTTACTTTATCAAGCATTGCACCTGACATGCTCTCATAAATTTTACATACATTTTAACTTATTTTAATATTATGCAGGCTTGGTTTAAAATATTCCCATGAAGTAACTAAAATGAAGCTGCTCAGCCATAAATTAGAGCTAAAAAAATACTTGTTCCCCCCGCCCCATCAATATTTCTTTACTTAAAATCATGTGTTGTATGTAAGTTAAATTTTCCCTTGCTGAGATACTTTGTATGTCTTAATAGGACTACCACAGAACCAGCGAGCCATATTTCTGTCGGGTTAAATGCACCCTCTTCGCTTTTTTAGAGGTATCTTGTCGAAAAGCAGCCACTGGTAACCCCTCGCGTGCCATCCTTGGGCGAGGCCCGGGGCCCGGGGCTGAACGTGCGGTCGTCCGTCTGTATACATGTACGGGGGTTTTTTAGCTTGTGTTTGTTTGTCTGCGCAGGAGCAGCCCTGCAGCAGCCCCACGCGTGGGCTGGGTGGGGTGGGGTGGGGGCAGCCCTGTGGCGGTGCCGCCCGCAGCGCAGCGCGGTCCCGGCACCCCGAGGCCGCCGCTTCGGGCGGTATCGCCAGCCGGCAGGTACGGCATCACTGACAACTAGTCACAAGGCTCCATTTGTCTCCCGATTTCTTAAGCTATTTCAAAGTCAGAGCTAAATTACACAAACATTTGCCTATCTAGACATAACAGGGCTGTTATGAAATACTGTCAGCTTGTTGCCGTTTAGCCTGAGCACACACTGTATGTGTCTGTCAGGCCATACTTGGGCAGCTCTGCAGCGTGCAACGTGTCCCAGACACTGGAGTGATTATGTCTGAATACGCCTTATCTGATTTAAAAGCCGACAATGCTACACATCTGTGCTTGCGAGGCTCCGCTGTTACACTGCGACGCCAGTATTTATTTTGCTTCTGCAAGTTAGTTTTCCTTGAGAAGCAGCAGGGGCCTTCTTCAATGAACTGAAAAATGCGTATTGTATGAAGGTCTGTGGAGGGTTTGTACCGTAGTTCAGTGGGCAAATGTGAACCCAGGGGATGGCATTTCATTTAAACATTTGGTTTGCATCTTTACATGCCAAAAATATTAATGTCTTGACTTTAGCAAACTGAATTCAGCACTTTTTTTTATTTTTATTTTTTTTGTTTCTTAAACGAAGTAATTATAGCCAAAACATTTTGTGGCTATTTATTCTTCCTTCTCAGAGGTGGAGTTTTGCACACGAGCATTTGGTTTCAGGGCTGAATTGTCAGTATCTGCTCACTTGTCACTTCCCCGTTAGTTTGTACTGGAAACCACCAGTAGTTTCTTTTCTTGTGTTTATTGTATTGCGCTCAGACCTTTGATCAAGACATCCTGGATAACAGCAAAGCCTAGCTTATTGCCTAGTTGCTGTTTTGAAAAAGACGTGAAGAATATGGTTTCTGTCAAAGGATCTATGAAGACAGTTAATGTAATTGAGAAGCAGAAGGGCATTTATGGAAGTGCATCCGAATGTCCTCTTCACATATAATTGCATCAGGAATTCTACATTAACATGCAAGTCCTGTCCAAAGGAAAAAAAAAAAAAAAAAAAAAAAAAAAAGCTTATTTTTAGGTAGAAGCCCTCAGTGGGCAGTAAATTACCCATAATATCCCCCAAACTAGCAATTAGCCCTGTTTGCTGACTACCTGAATTGTTTCACAGTAGTTCAGCACAGTCTTACCAGTTATCACCATACTTATCATCAGAGATTCAGCGTACGGTTCCCGCAGCCTCACATCCTGTACGCCTAAGATCGCTCATAATAACACCTACATTTCTGGCCCTTCAGAACTGTTTTCTCAGGCTTCACTATGTGAGGATAGCTGAGGCTGCCATGGCGCTTCAGTGGCAAGAACTGGAAAACAGAAAGCAATTCAGAAGGGTAGGGATCCTTTGGTATCAGCGAATACGAGTGGTTTGTATTTATTCCCGTATCAGCTGATAGTCCTAAACAGCTGCTCTGTGAGACCGAGCTTTCTACCAGTTCTCTCTTTACAAGTTCTGACACTGAAAGATGTTTTTCAACACGGGCCTGTAACTCAGGAGCATAAAACTGGAAAATACGAAAAGGAAAACCTATGGAAATTTTTTCCTTAAGGCTGCTGAGCAGTTTTCACATTCCTAAAAATGAATGCTTTGCCCAAATAGTAACTCAGGTTTGCAAACAATATCCATATTGCCTGCTTTAGCGATGACAGGAATAATCACAGGCCCATACATGCACACAAGTACAAGCACACGCATCCTAACAGCATCATTTTCACTGAACAGGCCTTGGTTTTAAAGAAATAATACCAGGTGAAAATGAGACAAATTAAGCATTTGAAGTAGAATACGGAAATGTTTGGCCCCTGAGCATTAAAGTTTTATTTTTAAGCACTGTGCACACCTTTCTGAGTAACGCTTTAATTTACACATTACTTCTCAGGCAAAATCCAACTGAATTAACATATTCCCTATTACCACCATTTAAATCCCATTTTCAGCGCTGGTTCTGCAGCACATTATACTGACAAGGCCCTGTATTCCTGCCTCTGACCTGATGGACTAGGTCAGGTAATGAAGAAGATGGAACAGGAATTCATGCTGAAGAGGAACATTTGAAGCCTGCTTCTCGTTTGCAAATGTACTCAGAGAAGCCGAAAATGGGAACATTGCCCTTGTCTGGCTCCAGCTAAAATGCTTCAGCTTCTTGTTTCATGATCAGGAACATCAGCTCTGTGAACAGACAAACTGCCTACTCCGTATATCCAAGAGAGGCTCTCAAAAGAGCAAACCATCTGTTAAAGGGTAAGTAAGTGATCACTCTGATTTTTTTGCTCTTGCAGGGACAGATTACTGTAAAGCACACTGCATGGCTGCAGGTGGGGAGAAGGAAACAGCCCTGAGCCGCCCTGCCATTTTATACCTAGTCATGCTGCTGGAAAGCAAAGACAAAGGACGCGGAGAAGACGGTAGGTGAAAGAATGATTTCCTTTTCAGCTAGGGTTTAAGTCAGGACGCTGAGACAAGAGTCATATGGCTGACTTTACTACCTTAAGAAGCCCTCAAAATGGCCCCAAACCGCTCCTGTTTCAGCAGCAGAGCCTCAGTCAGGGAGTCCATAAGCAGCGAGCTCCTGGTTAATGGCTGGGCGAGGCAGTGAGCTGTGAGCTGCTGGCCCATCTTCACAAGGCACTCAGAGGGAAAAAGGAAGACTTGGTGGGGACAGTGCCAGCAGACTAGTTCTTGTAAAGAAGAACTTTTTTCCCAGGATTTAAAAAAAAAAAAAAAAAAGTCTTGGGGTTGAACGTTGTTTTTGCCCTTACTAAACTAGGCCTTGATTAAGAAAAATACAAATAACCTCATCATAAATTAACAGTCATCCCCGTCGTGAGCATGAACATGCATACCTGGCCAAGGCAGGGAAAAGCAGATTGATTAAACAACAAAGTTCACCTTGTTTTCTGAATTGAAAGCTCATGCTGTTTCTTGGCAGAACAGGCATGTCAGCCCTGTAATAACCACTTGCTACCTTGCTTCAATCAGCGTTAAAACCAGCACAATATTAACATCTTGGGGAAAATCCATCTGGAAACTGCTTTCTGGGGGAAAAAATGAAGGGAAGGTAACTGAATACCACACCCAGTATTTATTTATGTATTGATTTCATAGTAACTTTAAGGAACTTCAAAGTTCTCTCTCCCCTCACCTGAAAATGTTGTATTTCAAACATTTTCTGTTAAACGGCAGAACTGAATACTTGTTCAGAGAGAAGTGGCAAAGAACAGCTGAAGGTAAGCTCCTTGGTCTGGCAGAGGCAGGGGTTTGTATTTGCTATTTGTTTTTTCCCCCGGAGGAGGCTGGTGTGCGCACGGCTGTCGGTGAGCCCGCTGCCCCGTGACGGCGGCATCGCGCCCGTGACAACGCGCATCCCCACGCCGTGGTTCACGGCACCCAGAGGCACGTCCATGCGGGAAGGCTGGTGCGGTTACGCCCAGGGGGCCTGAGGCTGGAACACAGGAGCTGGGCTTTAAAAAGACCGTGTGAAAAAAGTGGTTACTTTTTGCTGACAAGGTAATACTAAAATTGACTTCTTCCTCTTGCTGGCCTGGTATGAATACAGACTTGACATTACTTTGCGGCACCTCTTCTTTCTGTTGAATCAACTAACAGGATAGCTTCAGGATTCAGAGGATACTTGTGCTTGGCATGAAAAATTTTATGTAAATCCTGTTGTGGGAATGTTAATGCAAAGCTAACTGGGTAAATGAGCCAAAGCAAGCCTTTCGTTGATCTGATTTTTTCTTTTGCCTTTTTTTTTTTTCCCCCTCCCTGAAGCACTGTACTCCAGCATTAATAAAGTTTGAAGACTATGCTAATGATGTACAGCACACATGCTCTAAAAGCCATCTACTCTATGTAAATGCTACCTTGTACTGCTAGTTCAGCTTGGAAGCTCCCTGTGAATGTTTTGGAGACTTTTAGCATCTCCAAAATATTTCTGGAAAGCAAGCAAATGATTTAGGGTCAGGACACCGGATTTTTAAATTAATTATCACTTTGAAAAAAGCCTTTGTCACGAAGAGCTGGACTATGAAGAGGGCATTTGGCTCTGGATTAATTTTAGATGAAGTTTTAGGACCAGGCTAGGCTGCAGGTTTGTCTTCAATGATACTTAAATGGAATGCCCTGGCCTTCCTGCATCCTGGCCTGTAACTGCACGGGACCATGCTCTGCCAACTTTCTGTCACCTTGGGCTTCATTAGCATGAGAACACAGACGCCTTTTGGCTTTGTGTCTCACTGCAAAATAAACCATTGGGGCTGGTTTGCCAGTCCTCTCCTTCGGCCAGTTGTATATAGGTGCCTCATATACTCGACTTTAAAGGGCCTTGGACAGGATTTATTTAGGTTCAGTTTTTTTATTACAGCTCTTAAGTAGGTACCAGAGTGATGGTTCCTGTTTACAATGGTGACCAGTTACGCAGGTAACTACTCCTAAAGGACCTAAGAGCATCGGCTGACCAAGTGCTCAGCAGAATAAGTAAATATTTTATAATTAAGACCTTAATTGAGAATTCTGTATTTAAAAAAAAAAATATAAAAATCCTACCGCTTCCGTAAGAAATATTACCTGTGCATTTAAGGCAACCAGGGGTTCACTTTCTATTTCTATTCTAATAGCTGTTTTAATAGATGGTGATATAATAAGTACAATGTTTGATACGGTGAGTGAACCAGAACACTTAAGAATATTTGCAGAAAGAAATTCTGAACAAGTAACACAGACAACTAGCAGGTAATTTTTCTTACATGAAGAAACTTTCAATAAGTCACATTCATTCAATGAGGGAAAGAAGCAGTGCCACGAACCAGCATATGTGCACAGCACGCCTTTTGTCTACAGCAGAAATCCTGTGTGTTACCTTTGAACTAGCTACGTAGGGAGGGAAAAATTATCCGCCCTCCACAAATGATTTTGAGATTAATTATGCCTAATGGAAAAAAAAATAAAAATAAAAAAAAAATCCCAGTCTGTTCATGGACAATGAACGGAGAGGGATGTGAAATTTGTCAAGGTACTAATACATTAGAAATTATTCCCACTTTTGGTCAGCAACAGTCATTGAACACAAATACCATTATATTAAGGGCAGTAAGAGTCCAGATGAAATAGAAAAGAATAAGGCCGTCAAACTTTTGGAAAGACAAGTAGAGGAGGTACAGATCGTGCTGTGATCTATTCAGCACTGGTGAAAAGAGCACTGTAAATGTTTATTCACTTTTTGTACTCATTGGCTTCTTAAATAAAAGAACAGATACTATTTAAAAGCTCTGGCTGTGTCATGCTGTTCCCCTCCTCTCCTCAAACTGCTGAAGCTGAACGCCCGGCCCAAGTTTTCTGCACTACTGTCGGCTGCACGGGGGGGGGGGGGGGGGGGGGGGGGGGCAGCGCTGCAGCCGGCAAGAACCGGCATCGCCTGGTGGGGAAGGGGCGGCGAGTGCTCTGCTGGGCGGGGAGCTAGTGCGGTGCCCACCGCCAGCGGTACCAGCCCCTTCTCCCAGCGCCGACGTTCTGGACCGGGTTTTAGAACGGCAGCATTTGATAAGGCTAAAAGTACCTTTGATTTTATTCAAGCCGGACAATGATTAATACATGCATGTATTAAATTTCTGAAGTGCGCGTCAATGAACAGCCATGCTAACGTGACTGAGACTGAGTTCAGGGGAGTAACGCTCGGAGAAAAAATGGGTTCCGCCGAGATCAGAGTGCATTTAAAATTGAGGCCCCGTGAGGGATTTTCAGAATCACCCCAGTTTTATATACCCAAACAAGCTCATTCCTTTGGTGAGAATGAGGAGGTTTTCATCTCCTTCAGAATTCTGGGGTAAACTGTCCTTGTACAAAATTTGTTCAGGGTCAAGTTTTAGGCAATATTTTGTGCTGCAATAATCACACCGTGACAGACAACCTTTTCATCAACTAAGAAAAAAAATTCTCTTCTTCAGGTCAGGACAAGAAAGGAACATGACAGAGCTATAAATACAGAGCCCAGAGGTGCGAAATCTTGTGCATTAAATGTGGTCATTGGCCATGTTTAAGGGTTTTTTCCAAACATTTCAGATGTTTAGACAGAGAAGCAAATATATACATACAGGAATCTCAGCAAGGAAAGCAGCTGCTCATTGTTAAATGATTCTCTCTGATAATTGCTGTGAAATTTTTCAGACAATTATTTAAAAAATATATAACTGATTAGAGGGAATTGAATTGGGTAAATCACTTACATGTGTAACCTCAGGTTTAGAGGCAGAAGCAGCTGAAAACTGAGGGAAAAGGCTGTCCGATCACATTCCCATTTGCCAGGTATGGGCCAAAGAGACTCAGCAGGGCTAAATAAAGATTTTCAGATAACAATCTGAACATTTTAATCTGTGATACTAAAAGAAAAACCCTCGTCACCAAGCAACTAAAGTTAGACATTTAAATTATGCTACTGATTTCCAGAGGTGTGCGAATACACTACTGTGCCCAATAAAGTCAGAGAGAGATGAGTGCTCAGAGCACAGCGGCAGGGAGGGCAAAAAGAAGGAAAAAACAAGCCACACGATGGTCTCAGGTGTGTAAGGCTAAGTTTAATCACTTAAGCAGTGATATTTTTAAGTCCTGCCTCCAAAAGGTGCCTTGGGCAAGCTTCGCTGTGCGGGTGGTGGTGGTGAGACCTATATGCTCATGATGGTTGGGTGAAAAAATTTTAAATGCCTGTCAGAAACTGCACTCTGGCTTTTTAGAAAAAAAAAAAAATAGAACCCTCACTGCGCAATCGTAAGGATTTCCTGTTGCCAAAGGTTACCATTGGCTAGAAAGAGTTCTTGAGACTATCTTAAAAGTAGTGTTTAAACGCAGAGATTTTTTTACAGGATGGTGCTGGCTGCTTGTGTGAATGTAAGTGGCAAGTCTCTCGAGGCTCATCCAGCACTGGATTAGCTGAAGTCATGCCCAGGTCAGTGCAGCCAGAAGGATGGTCCTGATAAGGCAAGAAAGGAATGAATGTGTAATGGGAGGAGAGATATTGGTGATTCATCGCTAATCCTAAGAGTTTGCTTACTCACCTTGCCAGAAAAATAACAGAGTAGACGTGACACAAAATGTTATCCAAAGAACTATTACAAAATAACCTTCTCCTAAGTAAAATGAGCTAAAATTAACATAGTGGTTCTTTTTTTCAACCCAAGAAACAGAATTACTTAAAGATTTATTTATTTTTTTTCTGAATGTCGCTTTAGAAAACATGTTCTCAGCTTGGGGGCAGGGAAGAAGGCCCCTCTGTTCCGGAGGGTTCCCACAGCTTTCACCCAGGCCTCCGTGACGTCGGGCTCTGCTGTGGGGCCGGAGGCATCGGCGATCCTCGGTGAGCACGGAAGCAGGTTTGCAAACAGCCACGTCACTGCAGAGTGGCTGCCCACTACAACTACTGTGCTAAATGAGCTCCCAGGCGGGCCAGTTACAATGAAAAAATGGCACTACCACTATTTTAAGATGATAGTGCTATGGCAAACCAGTCATCACATGCTTGAGTTAGTAGCACAAGCAGTAGATTTAGAGTATTATGAAAATATATGCATTCTGAAGTGCTGTGAATTATACCAAATAATTCTGAATATCTCTTGCTATACTAATGAATCAAAGCAGAGCTTACCACATTATCTGCAATCACCATGGAGAAAATGGATTTCGGTGTACGTAGTTTCTGTATAAATAGTGCATCCCCAGCACATTCTTTAAGTAGCGTCTGATTGCATAATAACAACAATAATAAAGAGAGAGATGTCCAGCTTGCACACAGGCCAATTAAAGTATCAAGAGCACGAGGCTAGAGCACCACTGACTGGGGAGAAGTCAGTAGGGAGGTGCCCGGCTCAGCGGCGCACTCATCTCTGCGCCTTTGCCTCCCACCAGCCCTCCCGGCAGCGAACCGCGGGGTCTGCAGACCTTTTTCCCTGAATCCTCGCACGGAAGCAGGTCGTGGGGACAGCACAGTCTCCACTGTTTTACAGGCTGCTGGCAGAAACCAAGGAAGTCGTGACTGCAGCACGGAGGCACAGCTCAGCGGTTTGGGTGACGCTTCGGTGCTTGAGTAATTCGCGTTGTGCCCTACAGCTGTGCTGGGTAGGAATTTCACTAGCTGGAGGGAGCAGGCCCAGCCTCCGCGGTGTGCTCGTGGAAAGCAGTAAGCTGGAGGAATGTACTTTATGGGGTGGCTGGATCATATGTTTATGGCCTGAAATAGGAGATCCCAACACAAACCACTTTGTTGGTTTCTAATGGTGAGAGGCAGAATATGAAGCTCATGTAATTCATGCGGGGGAGTGGATATGAAAAGAGAATGTGGGCAAAACCTGGGACAGCCCACAGACTCAAGAGCTGTCTTGCCATTAATTATGGCTAACGGCCTAATACCAGTAATAAACACCTTCAAATTGAATACATTCCACATTCAGCCTGTAGAAACTCCCTTTACAGAGATGGCCCAGAAGAACTAAACGATTTAAAAACTAGGATGCTAGAATTATGCATTGCTAATAACACCGGCATAAACGCAGTAGAGGAGTGGGTGCTCTGGATCTCTGGAGATGACAATTTACCACCCAAAAGGAACTTCTGGTGGTTGACGGAATTCATAAAGTATTTCCTGTACCCTCTGTACAGGAGAAGTGGGTGGTCAAGACAGTGCCGGTACAGCTGGAAGGACTGTTCCGCCTGAGCGTTGCGGCGGTGGAGCTGGCCAGGTGGCTGGAAAGGCAGCACCTGTGCTGTGATTTCATGGGCACACCCCAGCCCAGCCAGACGCATGCTAATGCACCGCCCGGGCGGCCTTTCTGGGAGGGTACTTGCAGGCACTGCCCGGGGAGCCGGGAGCGCGCCACTTCGGGGAATGAGTCTGCTCCTCGAGGTACAGCCACTTAATTCTCTTCTCAGCACTGCAGAAGGGCAAATGTCCCTGGTTTAGGCCTTGGAAATAATGAGGTAAAATGGACTCAGCACCACTAAAACCTCCCCAAAGACAGGGCTAGATATTAGAATATCTGATTGGAAAACAACGACGGGCAAAGACAGCCTGTCTTGATAGGACCCCTCCTCTCCAAAAGCCATGGTAAAAGCTCCCTGGTCACAGAAGGAGAGCTGGGAGTTAAACGTGAAGTGGTCTGCAGGGATGCTAGAAAAAAGCAAATAAGCCAAAAAGCAGCTAAAGACCCTGACCACGCTGAAGAAGGAGGTTCTGCAGGCGGTTTGCAATGCTGCGATCGGAGACCAGGGTTTTCCTTGTTCTCCCAACACCACCAGGCGAACAACAGGACAAGGTGCTGTTTTCCCCATTAAAAAGGCGAAGGAAACCAGCAGCCGTACGCTTAGGGTGAGAGTGGACTGTCTTAAGATCAAATCCAGTCTGCTTTCAGATGAGAGGAGTTCACTTTTAGTCCATATTAACTTGCTGTACTAATGCCAGTTGTGACTCGCAGCCTTGCGGCTCGACCCCACGCCACAGCGATAGCCAGGTTCAGGGCCGTTTTCCCTCCAGATACTTTCTAAATTTGGCAGTTTAAAATAAGATTTATGTATATTTAAGCATCTAACAAAACACCCAGTTCAAAACGTCAAGGTTCATCAATGGCCTCATTCATGTGCTTGAAGCGAAGCACGTGCCGAAGGCCGCTGCCGAACCATGGCCCGCGTCACCCGGCGCCCAGAAACGCCGAGCTCCCGGGCGCTGCGGTGTAGACAGACGGCTCTTTATTTTGGGAGCCTAAATACAGAACTGGTGCCCAGCTTTAGATAATCAGAATTTCATCCCCTCTACAAAGACCTTGCAAAACACAAGTTATTTCCCTGAAACTAACAGTTGCTTTCTACATTTTAGCCTAAGTTTAATGCATCTAGACTCAAAAGTTTCTCAGTACCTTTGCCATTAATTAAAAAAAAATAATCTTGTGACCCTTTCATAAGGAAAAATACAGGGGATGTAGCTCCCATGCCCTGGACACACTTACATTTGGCTTGGTTCACTTCCAAAGGCCATGATCCAACAAGATATTCAAACACCTGTATAACTTAAACCCACTTTTAAGAACTGCATTGAACTTTGGCAAAAGTAGGGGAAAATAAATTCTGTTAAAACACCACTTTATTTCTTTCAAATCTGATTTTTTGAGAATCTTGAATGCAATGCATGACTTAAAATATTTCCTTCCTCATGTAGAATATTTTAATATTAAGGCAGATATTTTTATATCTCCACAAATTAAATGCACCATGGCTGAAAGTTTGACAGAAGCTTTAATTTGCACATAAAAAGGTAGAACGATTTCAGTTTTGACAGCATAAGCTTTTGATTTGTTAATAAAGGCAATTCTTTCGCAATTGTGAACATATTCCCCAAATAAGACAATGCAGTTTGTAGCAAAAAAACCCACCTTCCTGGAGTAGAAAATAAACTTTTGATCCAAAGTTATTAAAGAAATTCAGATTTTATAAAAATAAAAGAATGAAACTTTCACATTCAAGCTTTAGTAGTAACAGAACAAGAATCAGTGGAAGATACATGTTCCTGCCACATTCTCTATACCTATTGTTATTAATGTAACCTACCTTCAGTATATTTGGGTGAAGCTCATTGCTAGAAAGTACCTGTGAAAAGTTGAAGTCATTTTGGGAGTTGGAGGTGAGAAAGCTGTGTGTCTGGAAACGGTTTTGGGGAAAATTAACACAGATTTTCCTTGTGATGTTCTTAATCAAACTGCAATCTAAGAACACTAAGACTTCCGACTCTCGTGATGGAACCCAAGTGCCACAAAGTTTGTAAAGCGAGATATAACCAAGGGCACCAGAGGCCAAGCTTTCAGTGACCTCCTCGGTGCCCAAGACAGTGTTCTGCTTTTCTCCCGAGAGACCGCAGAGGAGGAGGGAGTGTGGAGCTAAGAAGCGGTTTGAGCAGAGCCAGCTTAAGCATGGAAAAAAAAATAAAATTTGGATTTCTGATCTCAGATCAAACAAATTATTCAAAACTTTTCCCACGTGACAGCCAAAAGCTGCAGCATGGGAGCAAAGCTGAAAGCACCCAGGATCTGCTTCAGCATACAAAAGGGTAAAGGATCACCCGCCCGCGGGCCTGCCCAGGTCTCAGCTTTTACAGGCTCAGCCAGTACTCTGCCCTGGCATCAGAAGCTGACTAAAGCTTCTCAGCGAGATGAGCGCTGTGTCCAAATGGTTTGAGGTACAAAATAGCCAGTGCTGTTATTACCAGCCTGCTGCTTTTAGCTCTCGGAGTAGACACTAACCCAGACCACCGCTACAGGGGCCCCTGGCTGTCACCCGCGTGGGCACTGGCGAGGCAATGAGCCAACGACGTGAATATGCCTGATAGAAGATATAACCCATCTCCTGCACATTGCTAGAAAACTCTTCCTGGACATCTGCAGCCATGGCACGGAGCTGTTGACTGCCTGTGTCACTGGAGAGAGCGGTTACTTACAGATGATTGGCAGCAGTGTATCCTGCTATAATGCTAACTAAGCCCGTGACACAGCCTGCTATCAATATTTTACTCTATTGCACGTGGCATTTTGCAGGGACACTAGATACTGTGCTCTGAGGCTTACTGGTTCACAGTCCTTCCATTTAATAACAAAGTCTCTCGATTTTTGTAAACGTCTAAGCTTTTGCTGGAAGAAGTCAAGCAGTTCATTACTTAAAGACATTTTTGTTTTCCAAACAGTATCCCCCCATGCTTTTCTTTGCTTGCATCTCACCACAGTTGCCTCCTAATCCAGTGTTGGTGAAACAAGGATGAAGGTATTTTGATTATGTTTTCACACTTCTGATGTACAGTTGCCTTGTCTCCTTCCACTTTCCTTCTGACTACACTCTGCTTCACAAATGCAGCCATCTGGCACAACATCTCTTTTTTTTTTTTTTTTTTTTTATTGACACCTGAGTAATCATAGCCCTTTTTTTCCTTTTTCTTTTTTTTTTTTTTTTTTTTTTAATTAAATAAAGCAAATGTTTCTAGCTCCAATGCATAGGCTTATAATAGGCAAGCCACATCCCAGTAATGAAAAGCAGGAAAAGTGAGAGGTCACTGGTATTAATGTTAGAAGACATTTAGGGTGAGAAGAGAATCAAAAAAAAGCATCCAGTATTTTCAATGAGATTATTACAAGTTATCTCCAGCACTTTTTTTTCCTTCACACTGGTTTGCAGCCTCATGAACGGTTATTTTAAAGTTTAACCTGCTTCAGGTTTGGGCAGTGAAGACGCTAGGCTCGATCGCCCGGGGGGCACACGGGACATCGCGGTATCGTGCTCCAGAGCAACTCCACCTTGGTGTGGTAGGACCAGCATTTACAGAGCACTCATTTCATCTCTGGATCCCAGTGTTGAAAAATGAAAATAATGTGTGTCATGGAAGGCTGAGTGGTGCAGCCACCTCTGGGAGTGGGAATGAACCGGCTAGTTTAATTCTCTGTCTTTACGACAATCAGCTGCAATTCCACTAACTCCAGTGGGTTCATGCTGGGAAGGGATTTCCCTTTCACAAGGTTCAGTGCATTGGTCACGTCTGAACACAGCTCTTTAAGATCACAACTCACAATGCTATTAGGTCAAGCATCAATCAAGCCCTGTTTTTTCTTTATTTGTTTAATTGGGAAATGAAGTATTTCCATATATTTTGTGTATGAAATATACTTATAAAAACATTGATGGCAAAGTTGTGGCCCCAAAAATTCAGAATAGTCTTACCACACATTGCTGTATGGCCAAAGTTGCATCCCAAGAGTTTTTCCTTGGCCTTGTCTCAAAGGGTATCTTGCAGACTTCGTCTCTCTTGCTAACACTCACCTTTCCCATGCTAGAAATAAATTTGACAACGCTAACTCGATCTCCACCCGGCTGCCATCTCCTCCACACATCTGATCCTAGCCCTGAACTCTATCCCTCTTGAAATAAAAGATGGACACCACCCCGCAGACCAAGTGACCTGGAAACACTGCACAGAGATATATGAGCAATGGAGCAACTGTGCCAAAGGAAACTCACAAATCACATACTCCGGGCAATGGGACAACTGGCAGGAAGACAAAATAAAATGACTGCCTCCCTACCTTTCACGGACTCCCTCAGCCGACACCACTACAGTCTGCTGCTGAAGCATATCTGCATCAGCTAAACCTGCTGTTTCTCTAACAAACCTCTTGCTGCAGTCCTTCAAGGCAGGAGGAATTGGGGCAGCCAAGGTTGGGATGGTGTCAGGAGAACCACTTCCTACCAGCTCAACAAATACCCAAGGACAGAGGAGCAGAAGCGGCTGCCCTGCATGCACCTACCTGGCCAGTCCCTTCGAGTAGTGTGGCAAGTTCAGGCAGGAAGGAATCACAGCAGCACCTGAAATAAAGACACAAATTCTCAGGCACAACAGCTGCTGCTCCATCATTCAAGTTGTCACAAACCACGGATATCAACAGTATGATTTTTGCTGTCATTACCAATTTGAAAGTGCCATTGATAATGTGCCAGTACAGTTCAATAATGTTAGACTCTACAGACTGAACCTGCCCTGAAATCCTTGGGTTTTTTTCCCATTTCTTTTGAATAGACTTTTCCAATAGGCTCTATCTCTAGGTGTGGGCTAGGCAAGTGCACTGGGCATCTGTGCCACATGAGCTCGGTGTTTCTTTGCTTTGGTGGGTTACCAAAGAAGATTTTTTGATGATACAAGCAGCTTCCTCCCTGTGTGAATGTTTAGCAGGGGCCACAGCATTCTTGTGGGATGGATTTCCATCTCACAGAGATGCCAAAGGCGGGGGGGGGGGGGGGGGGGGGGGGAAGAAGTTTGACATAAAAAGCTCAATCTAGACCCTATCAGGACCCGAATGCAGATTCAGATCCAAGCTAGGACAATCTGGACTTGGTTTTGTGAGAAATACCTGGTTTTCAAGATGCAGCCACCTGGAAGATTCCCTTTTTCACTTTCAAACTGAAAAGAGAGATGGAGCAGTTAATGGGGGAAGAAAAAGGCCATGAAAATGACAAGCTCTGTAAAAAGTTTCTTTGCAAATAACAGTTTAATACTAAGAAGTTGGGTTAAAATGGTTTCAAAGTCTAAAATTAGTTACATTTTAAACTAACAGCATATGCTTTTATTGTCTCTGATCTAAAATATAATCCCAGGAGGCTGTAAAAAGCATGCAAATTACAGAAAGCTAATTTGCTCCAACAGCGACACCTCCCATGTAGTTGGGAGGTCTATTAGACCTAGTGTACTCTCCATTATTTGCATATTAATAGCACCTGCTGAAATACTTTGGGATTTACTTTTCCTGCCAGCAGAGGGACAAAACAAACAAAAATTTATATAAAATTCCTTTCATACAGATTTGATGAACAATAAACTATTTAGACAGTGCTAAGAATGCCAAATTAGTGAGAGGCAATGGCATAGGATTGCAGATGCCATCTGTGATTTTCAGAGAAACTGGACTGCAAGTTCGCTTCAAAAAAAAAGCCAAAAACCAAACCAAAACCCCAAACAACAAAAAAGCCCTCTCTGGAAAGTGCTGGGTAATTTGAAATCACTCACTTGGCTCAAGACTGAAGAATGGAAAAGTTTAACTAAAGAAATCCAGACACTGCAGCAAGAAAAAAAGAAAAACACAACAAAAAAAACCCTACACATCCACAACCACTGAAAGCAGAACCCCCCAAAGTGGACCTTGATTAAAAATCTACAAAACCCCAGGCTTTGATATTAGCCAGGCCTGCAAGGCCTAGTCTCCTGCACATAAAACAAAAAATAAATTAGAACCAGCTACAGCCTGAGATTTACTTAACAAGCCAACTTCCAATCTCTGCTTATGACCACTGCTTCCCCTTCAGGCCCCCTAACTATAAAAAAAAGCCCCTTGCATATTCCTATAGCTCATCTTCTTCAGGGTAAGGGTGAAAGCAGCTTCCTTTCCACGGTAGCAAATGGAAAAAGATCACTTTTCAGTGCAAAGCTGAGCCAGACCTGGCGGGCTGGATGTATAACACGTGTCTCTCTGCAGAGCGGCTTTGGGATCTGACCAGGGAGGCCGGGGCATTCCCCAGTACCTCTTTTTCCAAACAGGCAATTGGTATTCCTAAAGAAGCTCCAGCCATGTACTCATATTCCCTTCAAGAGTTACAAGGGGCCTATATTTCTCCCCGCTTTTTAAACCCACTGCTTTAATTCTGATTATGCACCCTTTTTTAAATAGGCACTGAAAGACCCACTAGAGTTATTTACTGCTGGTGTGCTGAGTTTCTGTAGCATTTTAACTACCTTCATATTCCCAAACGAAGAAGGCAATTTAACTTTAAGTTAAAAATGACTAAATTGTTCTTCACATATTAAAAAAGCCGTGGAAGAGCGTTTCGTGTAGGACAATGAAGCACGGAAAAGTGAGATTTTGAGCAGCCTGGCCAGTGCTCTGCTGGGAGGGTGAATCGAGAGCCTGTCCTGAGCAAGGGCAGCCTTCCGTGTGGCAGCGGAGCCCCCGGCTCCGTCTCTTTGCATCGTGTGGCTTCTGTGTGAGGGGGGTGGAGAGAAGAAGGGACTGTTATGGGGAAATATATTATTATTGGCCTCTTCTCTCTTCACCACAGACAGAGCTCAATATGTCTTTCGGCTCTGCACAGCCAAATGAGACCTATGAAAAACTTGCTCAGTGTCAATTATAATTACCGAAGGAGGCAATCAAACATTACAGCAACGGGGACCCCTGAAATGGCATAGACAGGCAACTCCCACCATGGCTGTCAACAAATGCTAATTCTCATTAATGTGTATGTAACTCTTAAACGCTGCAACAGTGGTAGCTGTTAGGATTAGCTGGTAGCTAATTGGTAGTAAGTAGTAGAACTAGTTGAAGTTGCAGGATGGCAAGCAGGTGCAGAGCAGAGGACTCAGCTCTGAGCTTACAATCGCTGCTGGTGATAATTTTCAGCATATTTTTGCATAGCCCAAACCCTCTAAATAGCTGGAAGGGAAAAGGGTTATCAGCATGGCTCCTGGGCGGCTTCAGTGGTTCAGGGCATCGAGAAGCAAAGCTACCCCTTTAGGTTTAAGATACTAGCTCAAAACTGTTAAGAACAGAGGGTTGCTATCATTCGGGTAAATTCAGTGCCTTATAAAAACAGGTTTGCATCCCATTTTGAGAAGAGGGCAGGATCCATCTCTTCTAATGCTTCTGTGTCTGGCAATCAGTTACCTGCTGTGGGCTGGTCGCAGATGCTGCACTGAGGGCTGGTAAGAGCAGGCACGGCGCCTCGGTAGGGGAAGCGTCTCCACCAACACAGAGGAAAGCCCAAGCCCAACAAGCAGGGCTTCATAACCCAGCGTGCCTCTGCACAGGCTCTCCTGCTGGCATGCTGTGCTTCAGAATGGCAAAGGCACGAAGAAGCATTTGGAGGGACCTGTCCTCTCACAGTTGGGAACACTCCCTGCCCCGGGGTACAGCGCGGCAGGGTGACAGGTACTGCTACTGCCTGCCATGTACATGGCTAAAAACTTCCTGTGCTGCCACGCAGCACTGCCCCAGCCTTTTTGTAAAGTGTTCTTCCAATCACGGAGAGACATGTATTTGTAATGACAGTAATAAAAATAAAAATAAAAAAAAAAAACCACCCTGAAAAGCAAAACCCAGGCCATTACCTATTATAACAAATTGAATTGGATGTTCCTTACCTGAAATTTCATGAGCAATTAGCAAACAGAATTATCCACAAATGCATGCATGCCCTATTATCCTTGTAGTGATTTCAGCAGTCACAACGTTACAAGCTTGCAGTTTGCTATCTAGCAGCTCTAGCAGGCTCCAAACCACAGCTTTTTCTTCTTTTTTTTAACATGAAGTTCATGGCAGCCAGTGTTTTACCACCTGCACACTGAGAGAGAAAAAAAGCAAGGGGGAGAGGATCAATATATACAGTATGTTTATATTCAGCAAAAGCATGTTGCAGAGTGGGGAGCTGTGATGTGTGTGCTTGCATTGTCTGTGAAAGGATCCTTAGTGGCGCTGCAGCTGGAAAAATAATGGAAGATCAGGGGAATGTCTTCAGTGACAAACTTTCATCTGGTAAGTTACAATTATAGTGTAGGAAACAATACCTTAGACCACAACTGATTTGTGAATCCCAGGAAAGGCAGATCACTGATTCTTCATCAGGGCTGCAGAACCTGATCTATAAAAATTTGGGCCTTGGCAGAAGGTTGGGTGTAAGTGTGATTTGCATCTCAATTCTTAGCCCACCACAACCTTTAAATCTTCCTGCAGCACTATCACAGTGGAAATTTTTGTTCTCAGTGTGCTCAAAATATATACTAAAAAATAAAACATCCCAGTACAACGGAAGCCAGCTGTTAATGGGAAAGAATGTAGCATTTATGCTCAAATTGTTTTACAAAACACCATTACATCAGAGTCTTTCACCATTTCAAGGGAGATCAAGTCCCCCTGACACCATCTTCAGGGACTTCATGTGGTGCTTGTCACTATCATTCCACTTGCACAAACACCACAGCCCTTTCAGTTTTTATCTGCCAAGAACCCAGAATATGTTACATTATTTAGTTTTTGTAAGAAGCTTTTCTGTATGAAGAATTCACAACAAATGAAAGTCATTTTCCTGAAAAAATGAGCTTGTGAGTGACAGTTAAGGGAATTTTGGGGAGGCCCCCTTTACAGGAGATGGCCGCAGCTCTGCCATCCTTCCTGCTGATTGATGGCACAGGTCCAACTGATTGAACACAGAGCAGCCACCAGCACTGACAATGATGGTGTGACACTCACATATTTCCTCAAAAACCTTTATGGGTCAGACTATGAGCCCCGTACTCATGCTGGAGATGAGTTATTCATAGTAACAGGAGGGCTTCCCCGTGCCGCCACTGAATCTGGGAGACAAGTTTGCAGAGTGAGGTAAAAAAATCTAACTTCTTTAGCCAAGGAAATGTTCCACGTCAAATGCTCACAGCCTCTTAACCCAGTGTCAACAAAGACAGGTCTTCATGCCCTTCCTGCGTGTTTGTGAAGCCAACTGAGCCAAGCTCTTTGAGAGGAAGCCAGTATGCAGAGCCGCCCACGAGCCATAGAAGATGATTATTAATGTTCTGGCAGAGCTCAGATGCCTCTCCTTGCTGCATATGGAGCCAGGTTTTGTCCTGAAGAGCTACATACGACCGTGAATTCAAATTCACATTTATTTTGGCAATTTGATACCTGTTTTCCTATGTGTAGAATTTTATTGCCACTTACTCAGATATGGCTAAATTCAGAAACCCTTTCCAGGGACACGTTCTCCAGCTGATTGACTTTCCAGGCTCCAAACCTCAAAGCCCAAGTAAAGGGTGCAGGAGTTTGTCTACCAGCAATAGGAGAACATCAGACACATATCATAAATGTGCTTCCAAGTTTCTTTCTGCTTTTGCTGTTACTGGAGTTGATAGAAGCTTTCTATTGACTTCAGCAGACATAGGCTTAATGAAGGACATTTTTTTCTACCCACCACATAAAGGCACTTTCATTCCCTCACTCTAATTTGCCATGTTGGGACCCAGCGATTTGTTTTATTGCATAGTGATACATGTTGGCATTTGCAAGATTGCTGCACTTTCACTGTGAACTTTCATACAAGCTGCTCCCCTATGACAAATGGAAAGCAAATCTCCACACAGAAGGTTATGGCTCTTCTTGACATGCACCGAGTGAAGTGTGATGTTCCACAAGGAAGAGGCCAAGCTTTGGAAAAGTTACTCCCATATTTGAGTACCTGTATTTGGAGACATTTATGGGGCGTTGATTCTACAATATAACAAGACACTGACCCTCTGAGGTTTCTGACCTGGGACATCCCAAACAATCACTTACTTTTCATAATGTTTGCTTTCACTCCACTGAGTGTCTGAGAGCCCAATCAGAGTATTTCAGACTGAAAAGAAGTCTGGTCCTGGATTTCCTGCTAAAAATAAATAAATCAATCAATATATTCATACAAATGTAGCATAAATAGTTTTTCTTTTCTTTAAGGACACTTCCTTGTTAACTGCACAGAAAGCAGTCAGAAGAAGTATAGATCTTACCAACTACTCCTCAGCTTAACATCTCTAGCATTCAAAACATACAACTTCTGTGTTTGTACTACATTTCCCTAACAGCTTACATCGAGGCCAAACAGACAGAATTCTGCAAAGGTCTTCTAAAATAAGCTTATTTAAAAGAGCAAGGTCAATGCCCAACATATGTCTGATTCTGTGAGTAGAAATCAAAGAGCTAGGAGCAAATGGCATATGTCAGAACTCAGTGGTTTTCCATGCCAGGCTCTTTTACCAAGTTCACATTTCTGCTGCCAAAAACAGTAACAATCCCATCATATGGACTTCAGCTTTGGAAAAGTGTCTAAAAAAACCTCCAGTGTCTGTACATAGGCTACTTAGCTCAATAAATAAAACTAATGCATAGATAAACGTGTTTATCTGGACATGCTATTTATTGTCTCTATAACTGTATTTTTCTTTTAATGGGACACATGCTGATTCCATGCTTCAGCCCTAGGCCCTATTAAAATCAGATTAAAAGCAGTAGTAATGTAGTTATTTCCATTTATAATATGCCCATCAAGAGAAAAGAGAGCATTAAAATAGAAAAATATATATAAACAGGATTTAAGATTTTTTTAAAAAAGCATTCTGCTCCTTTTTGATCTTTGCAAAAAAAGGTATTTTTTAAAATAAAAAACTTTTCCCTCTGTTCACATGGAGTAAACTCTGTCTGGTCTTTTAAACCATATCTTGCAGAACGATATTTGTGATTTCAATTAAAATATGCTATTGTCACTTTAGCCTCCCTCTTTGGTATTTTAAATTGATCCTAATGGCTTTGCCTTAAGTGATTTGCATCCCATGGTGAATCCCTGTCACTGACAGCACCTCCCACTATTGCCCTCCCGAATAATCACTACCAGATAATCACTTCTTCCCCCTTCTCCCAACATTACTGCTCGCTTCCCCTCTGACTCTGCATGCTGGTACAGTCTGCAAAGTATTTGCTCTTTAACATCTTTAACATATGGCTTGTTGCTCTGGCACACAACAGTCAGGGATTTAAAAGAAGGATAAAAGCTGCATGAAAAAGGCCAAACCAATGGCTCTACAGGTAGGCTTGTACCTCTCCACGGCCTGTGTTCCAGGCTGCAAACCAGAGAGCGAGGAAAGGCAGAGGAAGAGGTAAATGGTGGGTTGTGATTCAAATCCCTCCCGGCACCGTACTCACAGTTTAGGGCCTGGCAGGTGCTTATGCAGCCCGATTCCTCTTGCTGCTCGCTGCTTTCTAACAGGGCCCTGTGAGATGGAGACCGTCGGAGGTGAACCTGTTTAGGAATGCAGAATTTTCATTGGAGACTTTCCACCAAAAAGATGCCATCAGCAGAGCCCCTAAAAGGCTTTGGTTGAAAGCTAACACCAGAGCTGCCCTCTGCCCCCTCTGCATTGCATCCCTCACACACCCTGCTACGCACACGAGGATGCACAGGGAACCACAAGCTTTCTCCTTCTGAGAGGAGGATCCTTTCTCCTTTGCCTTTCATGGATCTCATTATTAATTGAAGAATCATTTAGTTTGCATAATTGTCCTCTGCCATACATAATTCCAACCTTTCTCTTTAAATTGGCTTATTAAACTAAATACAGTCTTTTGTTTTCATGACTCCATCTATCAAAGCTTCTAGATGGACAGTCAGTCTGATGTAAAGAAAAAACCCCAAGCTAGTAATATCAGGAATCATCTCTTTATGTACATTTATGAGATCTACCACCAGGTGACTCCATTCTAAAATATCTATATTTCCATAAAACAAAATGCTTTCTTTCCTACACCCTAACATCATCACAATGCCCCCCTCCATAAGATTTAGCACTCTGAAAAAAACAGTGTTAAATAAATAGCACTCTTACTTAAGATATGAACTATTTCTTTTTGAATAGCACATGCAATTGTATTAGAGAGATTCAGGAATTTCCAGGACAGCCTGATCTGTTCCTGTCTAATCAGACCTGATTAATTCAAATCAAACTGCAAACCTCAGTTTTATTTTGCTTTAAAAACTCAAGATCAACAACAACTCAGCAGTATGTAGATATCACAGAGGCAGTTAACAAGGAAAGCCTACAGACACGGAGTCTCATAGAGTCAAATGGATATGATTAAACATTTGGAATAATTTATTAATATTTTATACATTCAAATATATACAGAGCAGATAGGACCAGTCAGAGGGATGCTCTTCACAGGGGACTTTATTATACTTGTGCCTAAGAACAGGAGATCCAGCTCAGGTGTCAAAGGGTGTTTCTTGAAAATAGAAAAATTATTAACAAATAATAGGGTTATGTGGGAAGGTTTGTAATACAGAACTGCACTAAACCATGCAATGATCTAGACAGATAATCAAAGCGTTCATGTGACACTGAGCACAGCAGAATAAATAAAATAAGGTAAAATAAAATAAAACAATCTTGCAAATGCAAGGCTGCAAATGCAAAATAGGTAGCAGTGCAAGAAGTGCTTCAGAGATTTACTGAGCCATTATTTGTGTGGAATGCATTCTCAGATAGGCTCTCAGACCTGACCAGTTTAATCCACATCAGACCAGGGAGACACAGGGTCAGGAGGCTGAACGTGGATTTGGGCACTTTGCACAGCTGTTTTCCTTAGGTGCAATATACTTGTCACTAGTGGTGGCACTTTGCATTTGCTGTATGGCAGCATATGTGCTTGCCACATTTGGGACCCATTATATCTCTTTACCCTCCAGCCACTTCCCTTCCCTTCTTGTTAGCTGCATGTCCATATATTCTTCCATATTCTTTCACTACGTTGCAATGCCAGCTCTTTGCCCCCTCTGCCTGCTCTGCTGACTATAGACATACCGCCTGTATTCTTTACAAGCTTCCCATATTACAACCATCTGCAGATGGGGCAGAATTTCTGTATGTATCACTGAATTTATATATGTAAGCACATGTATATGTATGTACAGACATGTTCTGTAAGAAATCACATCTATTCCATCACTGAAACGCTGACCTGGTCAGAAATATTTTTGCTACCAGGGAGAGCACACAAAGACAAATTGAAGAATAGCCAAGGAAATCTTTTAAAACAGAGTGTAAACCCAAACTAAAAGCTAAACTGAAAAAACACATAGGGGATGCACTATATGTTTACATTTCAGCCTCTACAATTAAAACCATCGTTATTACAACAGCACAGACCAATTGGTATATGTTGATATCTTGGCTTGCAGATAAAACAGTATCTGACTGCATGTCCAAAAGAGGTAGTTAAATGTTTCCGCTTGCTTTGTACACACAGTTGCACAGACAGGACCGACTGCAGGACTCATTTTTGCTCAGTGTTGGGTCACTGCATATGACAACAACAGTTAAGAAGAAATTTGGTTGATGTCTCATTTTGAGGGGCCGTAATGCCAGTCTCCTAACTCCAAATACACAATGTTACCTACCAGGATGCTGGGACACTGGTTCGGAGGAAAAAGTCTCCGATCTGGAGAGATGAGATTGCTCAGGCAAGTTCCCAGCTAAGCAGTGCCCGAGCCCAGCAGAGGCTCTTCCTCGGGCTCCCCGGAGGTGTGGGTGTGCAGCCAATAAAGGAACATTGAGCTTCAGATAAAAGAGCTTTGCACTCCGTTAAAGTACATTATAAATGTAGCAGCTTTTGATTCACATTTTCCTAACTATAACTATGTCCTTGATGACCAATATTCAGATAAGACCAGATCTCCTTCCCATTCCCCTCCAAATCATTGCAACCCAGGGGTTGAGAGCTTCACGCCTGGATGCAGAGATGTGAGCCAGTGCGGCCGAGAGGGCCCCTGGGAAATGCAGATCCATATTCATCTTTTTCTTTCCACAAATATGAGCAAGTTTAAAATAAAAATTTCCACTCATAATAAACCTCCAAATGCCAAACTCTAATTAAATGTGATTTTTTTTTTTTTTTTTAAACTACTCAGCTTTGGTCTGCTTCTGTTTTCATTAAATTTATCTTTAAGTATTTTCTAAAAATCTCATCCCAAGGAAGCAATCACAAAAACTCATTAGGGTTATTTTTATACAATGGTGAAGACACTGAATTACCTTCCTGATGTAGCTCCTGTCTAGGTAAGCGACACAGCCAAACCTTGATCTCCATGTCCTATATACCAGGCCTGCTGTTTTTAAATGCTACTCAAAGGCAGCAGTTGGGAAAATGATGTTACAGCCATGGCCTATGTGGGCTGTCATCTCAGGGAGCACCGTTTCTCTCGGCAGCTGCTCTCAGCAGCTATATCCCTCACCTGACAATTGCCTCGTTCAGCAACAGGTCAGGCCAGCAAAATCCCTCGCTTACTTTCAGGCTCTCTAAGTATCAGTGACGGAGCGCGAATTGCCTCTGGCTTTCTCTGCAGCCCCCATTACATTAATGAACAGCATTACATAAGAAATTGCTGCTGACAACTAAAACCTTTCATAAGTCATGATGGTTTTGGACATGTCCCTCCATTCTCCCACCCTCCCTTACACACACACACACAGGGAGAAGGCTTAGGAATAAGCCCCAAAAAATCAGGGAAATTTTGGTCTTCTCTTTGAGGTGACCATTTCTGATTCAGCACAGGAAATTATTTTGCTCACTTTTGGATACACAGTTTTGAGGCAGTTTACTGGAGAGAGAGACCACCCGCAGATCAACAAGAGACAGGTTTTTCATTGGTACCTGTTGATGCAGGCGGGGGGGTCAGCCTACCCTCTAACACAAGTGACACGAAGCAAAATTCGTAGCTGGGGCAGGAGAGGTGAGAGACTGGAAAAAGCCCATCCGTTTTAATGTAAATAGTTACAATATGCACATACATTTCATGCCATCTCACTGCCCTCATAAATGTCAGGAATGTTAAGTAGGTAGGAGGTCCCTCTAAGCACTGAGATGCCCATAACTTACAGCAATGCTCACAGAGTATAACCCATGGGCCTGAGAAGCTTTTGTAAGGAACATGTGATGGCCTTTTTAATTGTGGCCATCCTTGACAGAGCAGCCAATCGTCAGCATTACAGTGCTGACAAGGTACTGGGTGGCTGTGCAGGTCCCACTCGAGGGGGAATTAGGTGAGGATGCTGAGCTCCCTCTCCGTGCTTTGCACATGTGAAGCATGTTGTGTTCCGTCTTCCGAACAGAAAGGTTCTGCATTTTAGGTGAGCTTTGTTCAGTAGCCCTCCAGCCATGTCATTAAGTAGCCCTTCAGGGAACAAAATTTTGAAAACTCCTTGCTGAGGAGCTTGGTACTAAAGCTACAACCTGTAATCTGGGTCGAGGTTTTATCAGCCATCAAGATCAGAAGGGAAAAAGCACTTGTAGTTTGTGAATGGCCAACTCAACTGCTTGGAGAACGAGTTGATTCAGGCTGCCAATATTGGCTCTTACACAGATAATAAACTAGACTGGCCTTTCTCCTGACATCACACTTCAATCAAAAACTTTCTCGCAAAATGTCACTTTCAAAGTTGCAGCTTTAAAAAAAAAATGTCTTTATAAAAAATTCATGGCCACAATGATCTGATAATGCAGCTTTCTGATACCAGCAGATGTTTTGTCTAACATGTTCCCTGAAGCTGTACTCTGTGCCTTCATATCTTTCATTTCCAGTTGCTATCTGCTGACTGTGGGATGTCATGTACGTACCCTATAGCGATGCGCAGCAATTCGCATCTAACACCGCCGTGCGTAATGAGCTTCACAAGATGCTTGTCGCAATAACTCCGCACTTCCCCAACCATATGGAACACAACACTCCAAAGCCCACAGACACTTTTTTTTATTACAGTTCAGATCCTTAAAACATAATCTGTGTGATGTCTAGTGAATGTACGTGAAGAGCTGCTGAAAACAAAGTTAACACTTGTTCACATCATCTGTTACAAATGTCCAATTTGGGACAATAAATTTCCTCGGAACCTGTTCTTTTGCTGACTCGTTGCTTTATCTTTTTTCTCTTTCTCTCACGTCGTTTTTTTTATGAACTATGCATATGTATTAAATGGGATTTGTTGTCCCTAGATACCAATTTGCATAAAGTGCAAGCCATCATTGGTTGGAGAGAAGCAAATTACTTCTCCAGCAAGATCACACTTCTTTTTTTTCCTTTTTCTTTTTTTTTTTTTTTAATTTTAACAAACCGCAGGCAGAGGCTGTTAACAGCACTTAGCCAGATATGCAAAGTATCACTTTTCTCAAAAGCAGCTTGATCAATGAGCAAAAAAAAAAAAAAGAAGAAAGGGAAGGTATTATCCAGTTAAGTACAATGCAGAAATG